GGTACACCCGAATACACGGACTTCTTAGTATATATTTATGTGCTCGTGAAATTGAGAGCTCGTTGAAGAGATCAATACACTTTGTACATAAGTATGCACGGATTGTTTGTGCGTATGTATGTATATTTTCTAATGCAATTGAGAGCTCGTTGAAGAGATCAATGTGCTTTTAGTATTTTTTTGTCTGTACGCAATCCTGCTTGTTTGTTACAAGGGTATTGCGGGATGTATGCCAATGTGGACTTTGAAAATATGTCTATTTTTGTTTTTAATAATTAATTTATTATTTTTAATTTTTTAATATCTAGTAGTGTTAATTTTACCACAACGTTTACTGTTTTATTTTTCATGTAATTTTACAACTTTTTATATTGTAAATTTTCAATGTGTAATTGACCCAATATATATAGGGTATATAAGCATAGGCATAGATTATATGCCGTATGTATAAATATGTATGTTCGCACTGCAAAGAGAGCGCGAAAGCGAAGTGAATAATGTGCAGGTATTATCTCTATGCAATTATGTTTATATGTTATTATATGTACTTATGTTAAAGCAGAGAACTTAGAACAACGAGAAGGTGCAGGTTCGACATCAAACAATTTGTAGGAATTTATCAAGGAGTTCACCACACATGCACGAGAAACAAATAACATTTCTCGCTTTTATAACAGCGGTGAATCTGTAAACGCTCTCTTAACATAACCAACCGACGAATATTGAAGATAATATAATATGTATATATGCAAAACTGGGAATATTGATATGCCATTTGAAATTTGAAAAATATTCCCTTTTATTGAACTATTATTTATTATTATTTTTAAATTATTTTATGTTAATTCATTTTTACTTTATTGTGAATTATTAATAATAATTTAAAGATATTTTGATATTTTTCTTAAAATAATTCATGTACTTGATAGCATTAAGGAGTCACAAAAGTACAGAATTGTGTTTTGCCGTCGGCATTTCACATTCATGCTTCGATTTTTCTTTTCAAATGCATGTGTAAAAGTAATTATGTACGTAAATATGTACTTCTTTTTCGTTTTGGCCCATTTTACATATTTATTAAAGCAAGCGTCAATAATTGCGCCAAAATCAAAGAAATACAATCAAAGAGTCAATCTGTCGAAGGACTGACGCGACGACAAAGCGTCACAACATTGTGTTGTTGGTAGAAAATCCGAGATGTGCCATACACACTCTTACAAACATACATCGCATATGGGCAAGTGCAAAATCAACCCATTCATATACAACGTGGCATGCGTAAATGGAAACCAAGTCAACAAGTCATGTGCATATATACGGGCAGATGTGTATACAAAAAATTCGCATATTTACATCCGCACATTCTTTAACAAAAACAGTCAAACCCGGTTAAGTGCCAAAACTAAAGTTGCAGATTTTTTGTGCTTTGTAGTACATAAGCGATTGTGGTACTTAAGCGACTGGTACCAAAAAAATAATTTCTATGTATTTAAAAAAAATTACCGTTTTCCTTAAAAAATTAAGAAAAAAAAACGTGAGATGCAGCAAGACACAGGCAGATAAGAGGGATTGGAGGAGTGATACTTAACCGGGGTTTACTGTATACATAAATCAGAGGAATATTGAATATTTTCTTTAAAAAGTTTCTTGAATTGTAAATCGAACAATATACTATGTTGTCACTTTTATTCTAAAATATTTTAATACTCATTTGAGGGTTGTCACTTTTCCTTCTAGAGGGAATATCAGAAATTTGTTCATTTATGATTTTTAGCTTTTGCCATCGTCGTGAAAAGACGCGTGTAGGCAAAGCATGCTCGGGGGATGTGAGGGTATCTGTTTTTATGAATGAAGCGAGGTTGCTTGTTAAAAGTAGCGCAGCGTTCATGAATGAAAATGTTGTTGGTGTGTGATTTACTACAATTTAGGATTTGTCACTTTGGCTGCTAATTGATTTCTGGTGCTGATGCTATTTGAGACAATTTTGTAAAAATTTCCTCTTTTCAGGGGTTAATTGTAACTCGGTGCCTGTTCTGGCTAGTTCATCTGCTTGCAGTTTCCAGGGATATCACTATGCCCTGGAACCCATTGCAGGTTTATCGTGAAGTAGGATGTTAGATCCTCTAATAGATCAAGACATTCTTTCACTATCTTTGATGAGACCATAGGAGACTTGAGTGATTTCAAGGCCGCTTGGCTATCTGTATAAATATATATGTTCCTTGTTGTGAGCACACTTTTTGTCAATACAACAAGGCTTTCTTTGATTGCTGTGATCTCCGCCTGGAAAACACTGCAGTGGTCTGGTAAGCGGAGGCTATTTTGGTGTCTAAAGTTGCGCAAAAGACACACCTCCCACCTGATTATCTAGTTTGGATCCATTCGTGTAGATGCTAATCCTGGGTTCCTGTCCACCACGTCCCTTTCCCACTCCTCTCTGGTGGGAAGGCAACACTGTGGACGGAATTTAGCTTCAATTCTATTGGATTACAGAAATCAGTGGTTTTGGGTAGAAACGGGAACGATCTAAGTATTCTAGAATGCCCTTGTTGCAGGCGACTAATTGGGAGGATTCCTTTAGTCTGAGAGCAGACTTTGCTGCCACTTGCTTACAGAACAGGTCTGTTGGCAATAATTTAGAATGACGTTTAGTGCCTGGCTAGGCGTTGTTCTAAGAGCTCCGCTAATGCATATACTGGCTGCTCTTTGTATACTTTCCATACGCCTCATCGCGTATTTCTTCTCCATTATTGGCCACCATACCAATATACCGTATGTCATGATTGGTCTGACAACTTCTGTATAGAGCCAATAAGCTATGCGAGGCGTTAGCCCCATTTGGGGCCACCATCCTTTTACAAGTGTAGAGTGCTGTGGCTGCTTTCTTAACCCTAGCATCCAAGTTTTGTTTCCATGAAAGCTTCCTGTCTAAGATTAGTCCTAGGTAGCTTGCTTTATCTCCAATTGTTAGTTCGCAACCATTTAGTACTGGTGCCGTAACTACTGGAGTGTTATGCTTCCTGGTAAACAATACTAGCTCTGTCTTACCAGCATTTAAGTTAAATCGCGCACGAATACAGCCCAACGGTTTATATCGTCCAGGATCGTTTGCATAAGGTATGCGAGAGTATTAGGGAGTTTACCTCTAACTGATACTGCCACATCGTCAGCGTAGGCCACAACATGTACCCCCTTCTTCTCTAGATCCCACAGCAACTGTTCAATTAATTTCCTGAGAGGTTCAGAGATTCCCAGATCCTTAAGCGCACTCAGTATGGCCCTAGGCTGGATGTTATTGAAGGCTCCTTCTATATCTAAGAAGGCGATTAGAGTGTATTCTTTAACTTCTAGAGGTTTTTCAATCTCCGTCACCACAGAGCTCAGCGCTGTTTCTGTGGATTTACCTTTAGAATACGCATGTTGTGAACCAGCCAACTTGTCTGGTGTTAGTTTGTTTCTTATATGTAATTCTATTAGCCTCTCCAACGTTTTTAGAAGGAACGAGGGGAGACTAATAGGTCTGAAGTCCTTTGGATTTGTATGCGAGCTTTTGCCTGCCTTAGGTATGTATATTACCTTGACTTCCCTCCAAAGCGAAGGTATATAATTTAATTGCAGTGCCCCCTTAAGAATGGTAACAAGCCAATCCTTTATGTAATTCTGCGACTGCTGTAATTGAGCCGGGAATAGACCATCTGGTCCCGGCGACTTGAATGGCTTGAAGCCATGTATTGCCCAGCATACATTGCTTTCTGACACTGTGTTTATCAGAGTGGAGTCTATTTCTGCTCCACTGTCTTGAATATATTCAACAGTATGGCTTTCAGAGCTACCTGGGAAGTGGGTATCCATTGGTACTTCCAGTGACTCTTCACTGGATACCGTCCAGCTACAGTCTGGCCTCTGAAGATACCCGATACTATGCACCGATTGTGCCATTATTTTCCTAAGTCGAGATGCTTCCGCCGTGTTCTCGATATCATTACAAAAAGATTTCCAAGAATTTCTTTTTGCTCTCCTAACTTCCTTCTTGTATGACCTAAGGAGGTTGTAGTAATGATCCCAGGCTGACTCGCCTTGGGATTGCTTTGCTAAGTTGAACTGCTTTCTGTATTCTTTCTGTAACTTTTTAAGTTCGAGAGACCACCAGGGTGGCCTAATTCTACCTCTACTTCGTGTTATTGGACAAGCCACTTCTAGTGCTTGCCGGCAAGATTCAGTGAATTGATCAACGAGGATGTCGAGATCCTCCTTACTTTTGGGCTGAAACGGCGGAATCATAGGGATACGTTTTTCCAGCTCTTGCATGTGCACCTCCCAGTTCGTTTTCCTATGATTCTGAAGTTCATACCTCTATCGGCCCTTTCTTCTAATGTACATTCAATATATCGGTGATCCGAAAATGAATGTTCTTCGAGGACTCTCCATTGGGTTACCCTGTCAAATAGTACTTCCGACACAAGTGTGATATCCAGTACTTCTTGTCGGTTTCTTGTAATGAATGTTGGCGTACTTCCCTTATTACACAGCAAAAGCTTAGTGCCTAGTAGGTATTTGAAGAGACACTCACCTCTGTCGTTGACATCTGAGCTGCCCCAGACTGTGTGATATGCGTTTGAGTCGCATCCAAGTATTATCATGCACTTGGATGCCTCGCTATCCCTTACCACCGCTTTTACCATCAGAGGGGGCACCAGCTCCTCCTCGTACGGCATATAGCACGACACCAGCCGATAACTGCATATGCTCGTTTCCCAGCTTACTGCTACTGTGTCGTTGTTGCTGTAATGATGTAATATAAAAACGTTAAGGTTTTTCTTTGCCATTATGCAGGCTCTGATTTTACCTTGACTATTAGCCATAAATAAATTATAGCTCGGTGTCCTCAGTCCACAAATACGCCCTCCATTAACCCATGGCTCCTGAATGAGGACAAACTCAGGCTGTTCTTCTGCCATGCGGTTAATTAGGCTGCTGAAGCTAGTTTGCTGTGGTGAAGATTAATTTGTAGGAAACGCATTAACTAGTGTTGTTTCTGCGTCTTCCTGAGAGTCGCTTAATAGTTCAGACTCGGAAGAACACTCACCTTGCTCTATGCTCTCTACATCGCTTGAGGACTCCACCGGATCTTCCTCTACTTCGCATGTATCGCTTTCCGATGCTAGATGGTCTGCAGCATCGGCGTCCGACTTGTACGGTGTAATTCTCACTTTCGTGAATCCGTAGTTTATCTCCCCGCCACTTTTCGCCAGCGGTTCGATGGATTCTTTTGTTAGTAATAGCAGAATCTGCAACGTGGCCCTTTTGGTCTCCACGCCAGATTCTGCTACGCTATCGTCAAACGCCTTGACGAACTTCCACCCCTCCGTGGGCAGACTCGGGTTGCAGGCTCTAATGAGCTGCATTATCTGATCCGGCTGTGATGGTGTAGCCGGGATCCATACCCTTGCCCTTGGTCTGGATGGTACCTCTTTTTTGTCCACTGCTATTAGTTTTGCGCCCGGGTACACCTCCCCTACCTTGGCTATAGCAGCTTTGTATAGTGCGACCGATCTCTCGTCATCGCATGCAATCATTTTAATCTGGCCCTGGTACCAGCCGGCATCTGTGCATGACGGTGGCGGACCTGGATTGCTAAGTAGCACTTCCACCGCCACATTTGTCAGCGCAGCCTGCACCCATTTCCATTGGGCTCTGGGGATTCTTCCTTCGGGGTCCCCCTCATCCACGCCAATGACAATTCGGTCCCGGGCCACTTCTGCAAATGATTTTGCGGGCGTCACGCCCTTTGTTTTCGGTCGTTTGGCTGACGGCTTAGCCTCTTCAGCTGACCTCTGTCGCTTTGCTGCCTTTACTGGAGGTTCCAGTTTAAAATTAGGTATGACCGCCCTCGCGCATTCAATTGATGCTAAGAGCTCCTTGGTCAGCTCCTCCTTGGTTGGCGGCTGCAACTCCACTAACCTTAATAGGTATGCGGCGCGTCGTCTCTCTGCATACCTTGCCTTTGTCGGGTCCTGAATATTGAAAGCGGGCCACTCTCTGGCAGATGCACTTCCAGCAGCAGCCCCTTTGGCATCTCCCCCCTCCCCCCGCTTCTCAGTCGTGTTTTGACTACAGGGTTTGGACCTGGCTGCCTCCGGCGCTGCTACCTTCTTGGGGCCAGCTTTAGCTTCTGCCCCCTTCCTTGTGCCTGCCTTATCTGCGGGACCAAGCTTCGCTCCTGTCCTCTTGCCGATTGTTGACGAGCTCGTTGCAAACGCTGCTCTTTTATGGGAGCAACTCGCTCCATCCGGATTTTTTGGTGGAGATCCGGACTCCCTTGTGTGTTTGTTTTTATTCGTTTTGTTGTTCAGGTTCATAATTGGTCCCACGAGTGTGGGGGAATGTGTGTCCGCTTGCGCATAGCCCCCGCTACGCAAGTAAGGCTATCATATTACGGAGGGCGCCAGGTATCCGTAAGCTCCGTTTGAGACTGGGCTATTTAAGGGCCCCCAGCCAGGTTGATCCTCGGCACGGGTCGCATGACACCTTGATCCAGCCCTTCATAGTACCCCCGACCATGGTAAGGCTCCTTACCTGTATGCTGTGCTATTGAGGAACATCGAACACACAGGTAAGAAGTCTGACCTTAGCTAGATTCCTCACGTCTACGGCAGGGGCGATCTGTTACCAGCTCGTCCCCGCTTACTTCGTGAAACTGTGGTATCTATTACCAGTCGGCACCCTCGGGGAGGGTTCAGTATACATACTTACATATAGAGCAGTGCGCTCACATGTTTTCATTGATAATTGATAATATATTATTACAAGTATATTATATAATATATCATATTGATGTACTTATGTACATACATAAATTATTAATTTTGTAACAACTGAAATTAGAAAATTATGAAAATAGTAAAATATCATTTCTTGCATAATCTTTCACATTTTATAAAAATCGTTTATATGGCAAAAAATAAATATTTTTTGTTTTCTCATTAATTTTTCTCTTTATGTTGGGAGATACGTATTTTGTCAGAGTATTTTGTTATAAATTCTCATTTCTGTTAACTAACAGCAAATACTACAGAAAATGGTGAACTCCTTGATCTCAAATTTTCAGCCAACCAATTGAGCATCATACAAAATTCAATTTGCACCTTCTCGTTGTTATAAGTTCTCTGGTTAAAGTAAGTATAGATAGGTATAATAGGTATGCATATATGTACAAGTATGTTTAGTTTGTTTTGTTTATGTTTGATTCTCTTTATTTGTCTTTTATTTTTTGTCATATGTTTATGCCTTTGCTTACTTATTTTAGGCAATCCTGATTACTGTTTTTGTTAAAAATAAGGGGTATTGCCGGAAAATATTTACAAGTATATACTTAAATTTTGTTTTGTTTTTGTGTTTGTGAAATATGTGTGTTTGAAAACACAAAGGTAAGCTTATAGGCATACAATAATTATTTACATATTATATATATTTGGATATATATATTGTACCAAACTGGTTTTAATGTCAGCGGTATTTCGATTTTTACCGTGATTTATACCAGTTTGATAATCGTTTTTTATATTAGTAAAATCGGATTTACTGCTACTGGTTTTATGTTATAAAACCGTATTCAAACTTACATACAAGTATTTACATATATAAAATAGTAAGTGAAATGAATACGCTCACTTTGGTTTTGCAGGGGTAGGCTTCTGTTTGTATGTACGCATGTGTGTTTCTTTGTTATCAATTCCTTTTCCTCTGCTTCCAGTCGTGCCTGGTTTTAGCAGAGAACTTAAATGAACGAGAAGGTGGAGGTTCGACATCGAACAATTTGTAGGAATTTATCAAGGAGTTCACCACACATGCACGAGAAACAAATAACATTTCTCGCTTTTATAACAGCGGTGAATCTGTAAACATACGCTCTCTTAACATCACCAACCGACGAATATTGAAGAGAATATAATATGTATATATGCAAAACTGGGAATATTGATATGCCATTTGAAATTTGAAATATATTCCCTTTTATTGAACTATTATTTATTATTATTTTTAAATTATTTTATGTTAATTCATTTTTACTTTATTGTGAATTATTAATAATAATTTAAACATATTTTGATATATTTCTTAAAATAATTCATGTACTTGATAGCATTATGGAGCCACAAAAGTACAGAATTGTGTTTTGCCGTCGGCATTTCACATTCATGTGTCGATTTTTCTTTTCAAATGCATGTGTAAAAGTAATTATGTACGTAAATATGTACTTCTTTTTCGTTTTGGCCCATTTAACATATTTATTAAAGCAAGTGTCAATAATTGCGCCAAAATCAAAGAAATACAATCTAAGAGTCAATCTGTCGAAGGACTGACGCGACGACAAAGCGTCACAACATTGTGTTGTTGGTAGCAAATCCGAGATGTGCCATACACACTCTTACAAACATACATCGCATATGGGCAAGTGCAAAATCAACCCCTATTCATATACAACGTGGCATGCGTAAATGGAAACAAAGTCAACAAGTCTTGTGCATATATACGGGCAGATGTGTGTACAAAAAATTCGAACGTACTTACGTACGTTCTTCGACAAATACAGTCAATCCCGGTTAAGTGCCAAAACCAAAGATGCAGATTTTTTGTGCTTCGTAGTACATAAGCGATTGTGGTACTTAAGTGAGGGGTACCAAAAAAAAATATTTCTATGTATTTAAAAAAAATTACCGTTTTCCTTAAAAAATTAAGAAAAAAAAACGTGAGATGCAGCAAGGGTTTACTGTATATATAAATCAGAGGAGTATTTAATATTTTCTTCAAAAAGTTTCTTGAATTGTAAATCGACAAATATGCTATGTTGTCACTTTTATTCTAAAATATTTTAATACTCATATTTGAGGGGTTGTCACTTTTCCCTTCTAGAGGGAATATCAGAAATTTGTTCAATTTATGATTTTTAGCTTTTCGTGAAAAGACGCTTGTAGGCAAAAGCATGCTCGGGGGATGTGAGGGTATCTGTTTTTATGAATGAAGCGAGGTTGCTTGTTAAAAGTACGCCTGCATTCATGAAGGAAAATGTTGTTGTTGTGTAATTTACTACACATTTAGAATTTGGCTACCATATTGATTTTGGTGCTCATGCTATTTGAGACAATTGTTGTTTTTGTACAACAATGTTTGTATTCTGCCTATTGGCTGACGTACTTACATTTGTACGCTTAAATGTATGTAGATTTGTGTATGCATTACTTATTTTGCGCGGTCGTACGCATATTTTCACATAAGACTGCTTACGCGAATTTCATGGAAAAATTAGGTTTGGGGGCCCGTACTACCCCGCAGGTGCAAGTTATAACTTTACCGCAATGGAGACTTTTGTAGAGCGTTCAATTCTGAGGAATACCTAATGACGGGTGAGATAATCCCATCAACTGCCGCTGAGTTATAAAATTAAAAAGAAAAAAAATCAAGTTTTACGTGTATTTTATATGGGAAATCTTTAATGGCCTAGGTCTAGTAGTTAATATTAAAATTAAAGTCCCAAATTTTTAGGGAATTTTTTTCTTGGTATTTCCAATAAAATTTCACCATGGGATCGAAAAAAAAAATAGTTCAAAAAAGAAAAGCAGTCTATTGTACATACATACTTATATATAGAGCAGTGCGCTCACATGTTTTCATTGATAATTGATAATATATTATTACAAGTATATTATATAATATAACATATTGATGTACATATGTACATACATAAATTATTAATTTTGTAACAACTGAAATTAGAAAATTATGAAAATAGTAAAATATCATTTCTTGCATAATCTTTCACATTTTATCAATGTAGCATTTGTGCAAAAAAATCATATTTTATCAATTTTTCATCATAAAAATCGTTTATATGGCAAAAAATAATCATGCATATGTGTAGTGGCATTTGTATTTTTTGTTTTCTCATTCATTTCATTTCATTTTTCTCTTTATATTTGGAGATAAGTATTTTGTCAGAGAACGTTGTTATAAATTCTCATTTCTGTTAACTAACAGCAAATACTACAGAAAATGGTGAACTCCTTGATCTCAAATTTTCAGCCAACCAATCGAGCATCATACAAAATTTAATTTGCACCTTCTCGTTGTTCTAAGTTCTCTGGTTTTAGTGAGTTTATTATAATTTGTTTTAAATTCGCGCCCGTTTAAGTTGTTGGTGTCATTGTTTAAAAATTCGCGCCCGTTTGTTCTATTTATGTTTTGTGCTTAGGTTTCGCGGCCGGTTGTGTGAATTTTTGTTTGTTTTAAATGTTTATATGTTTGTTGATATACATATGTATATATATACATTAGCACTGTATCTTTGGTGAGTTTTGTGTCTACATTTTAAAATGTAATAATTGTTATTTTGTCACTGCACCATTTTTAACATTTTTTGAATTAGTTTGCAAATTTTGTTACTTTTTTTGTTGTACCACTGCACTGCACTTTATTACTTGTTTGTAATAATTATTAATTGTGTTTCTTAACACAGTTTTGTAAAAATCCGAAGGTGCCTTTCGGTAAGGCTCGAAGGACCATGAATAAAGCGATACACAATTTGTATGGGAGCACCCACCACTGTCTTTAAAATGCTGACACTCAATACACTCGCGCTTAAAATTATAATAAAAATGCGATTTTTCTTGTTTACCATGTACAGTATTTTATTACATATAAAAGCCAGTTATTATTATTGCTTTTAATACATATCTGTACAGTAAATTTTGTGCCGATGTCGATCGAC